TGGCAAATACAGTCAGCAGAAAATATGTTCACATTTCACTACAGAAAACATGTGAACTCTTTGTACCTGACACTTTACACAATATGCTCTCTGGCTTTAAGAAAACATTGTTTCATGTTCTTACTCTAATCAGCCTTGTCTGCCAGCTCGGAGAACAGAGAAGTTCATTGTTATATGCAGCTGTCATTTGTTCCATCTCCTTGCTCTTTCTGACTTCAATATCTTTGTGGTATTTAGTGAAAGTAATTTTCAGTTAGAAATCTTCTGCCCTTTCAGTAAGTGCAAGTATAGCACTTCATCAATGGCCAAAGAATTCCAAGCTATCTGGGATGTATCAGGACAGTTGATAAAACCTCACAGAGCAACCTATGATAGTACATCCCATCATAAATAAAAAAAAAACCAGAAAGGGCCTTTGTCAGTGTTTATCTGTAGCGCTTTTATTCTTTGCCCTTGATTTCCTCTTCAGAAAATTGATGCACCCTTAAATTGAAGCAGGAGGCTTGACAGGTGATGGTTAGTGTGATAACTGCTCAGATTTCATCAGCCAGTGTTTTTCTGGTGGTGCAATTGTAGGAACTTTCAGCTAGATTACCTGTCATCCACTACATCAGATAAAAGAGGGAGAGTTGAAAGATGCGGTTTTGCCACTGTACCTTATAGGAAATGAAAAGTGTGGGTGAGGTAACAGTAGCTGAAAAGAAGTACAATTATTTTCTAATCAGGCTATTCCGTCAAGAATGTCACTGCTGAAATTGGCAATCATTGGGCAGAATCCATTGTTAAATTTGCATTGTTAAATTCATAGGGGGAAAAATCTTAAAAGAAATAGTCAGTTATACTGTAGGTAGTAGCTCAAGCACTGCTTTTGACTATCCATTTAATTCTTCTGTATATGTAAAGCAATGTACAACCTATATTTAGACGGAAAAAATGTTTCTATTTTGGGTATTTTTTGATATTCTTATTTCATCGTACTTATTCTGATGTTGGGTTGTTTCTTTTTTTTTATGATAGCTCAATTGCTTTGTAAAAAGTTTTACTTATGTTGTGTTTATCCAGGTAACATTTTTATTTAACAACTAGTGCATGCTACCAGTACTAAATATTAAATGTATATTGTTTTGCCAGTTCTTCTGTACTATCAACAAAATTGGACTTTTTTTGACCACCCTAAACTGTTAAATGAACAAAGATGACCTGAGTTTAATTTACCTGAATTGCATTTTGTAAAATTTTTATTTTTAAGTTCCTATACTGACTTCATTCTGTGCTTTAACAATCACTTTCCCATGTTGAATATCCCAGATATAGAGCAACTTCAATAAGTTTTGTGTTATCTATGCTTTGATTTATCTTGGTTATCCTCCCTAATCTATTCTTCTAGGTAGCTCAGGTCTGTTTTGAGTTTTATTTAAAATGATTACATACGCAAAGTCCAAAAAATTATAAAATAAAACCATAACCACCAGTTTGTTAAATATGACTATTCCCCACACTGCACTTGAAAGTCTGTCAGCAATTCTATTACAAATGCTTATTTTTCTAAGGCTTATGCAGTTTAGCTATGAAAATTCTCTCTCGGGTGAGACTTGGCAGCTGAAGCTTCATCATGTGACTGCAGCTATTTGTTGCTATTGTTTTAACAAATATTCTCAATTTGTTAGAAGACTTGTTGTCAAAGTTATAAGTAGAAAGCAATTTTGGTAAATGCAGAAGATTAAATCTACAGCCTTATAATATTTTGGTTTTGCCCTTGTTAATAATAATTCCACATCTTTATTTTTTTAATTCCACATCTGTATATTTTTTTAAATATACAGACTTGAAATCTACACATTTTCACTTTTGGTGTGATGAATGAAATGCCACAGCTTCTTTTTATGCAATGATGAAGGAACTTTCTGAGAACTGTGATTGTCTCTGGCCATTGCAGAAAGCTTCTCATGCAATCCCTTTTCAGACATGTCCAGTTCAAAGGGGTGCTTTGTGTACACAGTGAGAACTCTTTCTTGACAAGCAGTGACAATCACTTGGATCTCGGAGTAGGCAGTCAGCTACTCATAAGCTTACATAGTAAAAAAAAGATGATAAAAAGTAGGAGACGACTCAGAGAACAGATGAGAAAGGTTACAAGTGTGTAAAGTGTGCTTGACAGAGACAGAGGAGACTCACAGAGCCGAGTCTGTCTGTTGAGGTAAAAGTTAACAGGTCAGTTGGTCACCACTGTAGGTTTTTATGTGAAGAAGATACTTTTAATAACGGGATGTGATAAGCAACATTATAACAACTTGCTATAAAGAGATTTTCTGATATTTGTCATTCACTTGCAGTGGCTGGCAGGCCACTGTCCTTCACCACCCACCTTGCCCCTCAACCATAAGACACTCATCCTGCAGAAGATGACCATACCTACCCCTCACAGGCTGCACTCTTGTAGGAAACCGACTCAGCAGCACTTCACACCGATAACCTCTGGACCATGGTCCCTGGGGAGCAAGCACGTGGCTTCTCAGTCCACCTGTGCTCCCACGGTGGTGGCCGTTGGCAGACGTGGCACGTTGGCAGACGTGTGGGACAGCCAGACAGGGTAGGTGACCTCCAGGAGCAGGGAGAGAAGGAGTGTTGCAGGCACTTACCTGTGACACAAATGACTCTGCAGATGGTAGGTAACCTTCTCAGCCCCTGTAACATATCCGAGAATAACCATGAATCAAAGTCCATCAGTGACTTTTGATTGTATGAAAGGGACCTGTTTCAAAAGGACATAATTAGATGGTAATTTTTTTTGCATCAGGTCTTGTGATGAGCTTTTCGAAGATGAAAAAGGGATTTATCATCTTTCATTAAAAGAAAAAAAAAAAAAGATAAAAAAAGTAACTAAAATCCGAGCAGATGTAGCCTACAAATTTTCTCTGTATGCAGACTGCATGTACACATAGAAGATGTTTTCATTAATTTCTTCTAGCTTTTACTCCTTGAGACAAAAGACATAGCATTTTGGTCCATGTTATTTTCACAGGTATGTAAGGGACTTGGGAGCTTTCATTTTCCGTACACATTCTTAATATTCTTTAGGCCGGATGTAGTTGTGATCTGGAACGTCAGATATAGCAGCTGTCAGCCCAGACAGGAAACCATGTTTGTTTGGAAAAACAGCAAGATTCTGATGAGTTTCTTTGCTGGTCAAATGTGTCAAATTTACATGTACTGATCTTTGATTCACTATGAAAATGTCATCAATATAAGAATAGTTGCCTAATTTTTTGTTTTGCTTAAATCTCTTTTCAGCTGTCTGGAAAAGGGACAATAAAGGGCAGATATAAATAATGCAGAGGGATAAAATACATATACATGAAATTGCACATATAAATAATAATAGTAGTTACACTTGTAGCAGTATGAAGTTATCTAGAAGTTGGGAAAGCCAGGTTCTGGATAATTCCTTTTCCACCAGCAAAATGAGGAAATGAACTGAAAATGTTATGCTACCTCTAGCGTCAACCAAGAGGCTTGATATTTTGCAATAGGCACAGCTTTCCAGAGGAGTTTAAATGCTAGAACTGAGAATAACAGCTCAGAGAAGACAATTTAGCTGAGACAGGATCTAGGAAAGCTTTGGAGAGGTTTGCAGTCTTTTTAAGAGACATCAAATATACAAAACAGAGTAAGTCAAAAAAACAACCCAAGAAGATAGTAGTGATCCGTAAGTTCATCTGCTGTTAAGCAGACCAAGTGAAACCATTCAAGGAGACTGCATCTTCCAGTTTTTAGTGATCTGGATAACTCCTGCTGCCATTTCACTCCTCCTCCCACTAAATTTAGTCACTGGAAAGGAATGCTCATTTACTCCATGTTGCACTTGTGCATTTTTATTATTATTATTATTATTACTACTGAGTAGTTTTAGAGAAATACCACAAAGACACAGTACAGCTGTAGTAACATATCCCAGTTTTGTCATGCTGCTAATTCAGATGCCTAACTGAGTGCATCATAAGGCAAAAAAGGTAAATAGATGGCAGGGAGAGAAGAGCAGCTAGAGATTAAATTGTTTGTCTGAGTTTGTGGAGTGAGACAGTGATGGATTTAAGTGTTTGACTCACAGTCTGTAACTCCGATCGCATCCAGGCGTTGTAATTTTCTGTTGATAAAATGCTTGCTAATTAAGCAACATATATAACAAATAATTGGTTAAAATTACTTAATTCAGTCTGTTGGGGGGTTTTTGCCTTGAGCTAGCTTTTTACATGAGATGCATAGTATAAAAAGAGAGATTTACTAATACTGACAAAATAAATAAACATTTCATGAACAGAAGTAACTAAGAAAAGGATAAAATACTAGCAGTATGATGAGTAGCTTGCAGGGATGCAAATAAAGCGCTCCTGAGCTGAATAGCAGCATAGCAGAGCTTTTGCTGAAAGAAGAACAGACCGGAATGCCTCCTGATTTGCATTGTTACAGTGCAGCAGTATGTACTTATACATGCCATTAATTTATACAAGCTTTTTGGCCCCCCAAAAGCCAAATGTTAGAATAAGCTATCTACTCACCCTGTCCATAAATCGAAAAGTGGCTGAAATGATTACACTTGATCTGCAGCCATATTCTACTGGAAGGTCTACTGGCTTGCAAAGGCTTTCAGAGCACATTAACCACAGAGTTGTCTCCCAAGCTGGGTATTCTTAGCTGCCTCATATTTTTGCCAGTTTGTTCTTTAAATAAGGTGTCATTAGGCAGAGAGTTGAGTAGCTGCATATTTTAACACTGATCCACAGAAAAAAAAATGAAACAACTGCAAACTTTTTGTCTGCTATATTGGGGACAGTTCAGGGGAGTGGGGGAATAGCATGGCATTTGTAGTTTATTTGAAGCATTAATATCTCCAAACATAAAGTCCACTCTTATGTTTTCTAAAGTTGTTAATATCTAATGATTTTATCACATTTTTTGAACCAGAATATTCGCTGGACAGTGTTTTTCTCTTCTAGGCTAAAATGCAGGCTGGAAAATGCCTGGTGGGAAAAAAAAATTATACTCAGCCAGTGTTTGAAGCAAGCATGTCACTTCAGGGATTCAGTAAGTAAAAAAGAAATTGTCAAAAGAAAACATGGGACATACCATTAAGTTTTGGGTTTGAAAACTGGTTGTTGGTTGTTACCTTCTCACCCACATGTTACTTGATCTTTTCTTTCAGTGATAATGCTAACATGATGTTCTCAGTCATATATTGAAGCTCTCCTCTTCACATCGTATATGAAAACTTATTCAGATGTACCAAATTTCACAGATAGCCTACAAGATCAGAGATGAAGACTGAGACATCTGAAAAGGGCACAGAATCAGATATTGTCCTTTTCACTGACGTCTAGAAAACTCTGTCACCAGTCTGTGGCTCACAAAAACAGGGATTATTACCTGAATTGCTATAGCCAAGTCTTCACTAGTCGCTTCCAAAAAATTATGGGCAAATATATTTTCTATAGAAACCCCTATCTTTTGCATGTGGATGACTGTATTTTGCATGTGGTCATGGAAAAATTGCTGCTCTCTCCACATGAACACACCAGTGTGGTTAGGAAAGCAGTATAGCATATGAGTATGGTCCTGCCATAAATTTGTACTGAGGAGCAAAAAGCTTTCCGTTTTCCAGACCTTATCTTTATATATGGTGCTTTTAGTACCTATAGTTGTGGCCTGTAAAGTTGTGGCCTGTTTATCTTTATATATGGTGCTTTTAGTACCTATAGTTGTGGCCTGTAAAGTTGTGGCCTGTTTGTGTCTGTAAAGTTGATGACTAAGTTTGGAACCTTGATTAAAAACAGATGAGATGTGACTCTAAGCTGGGTCTCTTGTTCTGCACATGAGGCTGACTCCATTCATGGAAGAAAGAACATCATCCTGTAGTATAGGAGAATCCCATCTCACATGTCCCATGCAGTTCAGAACCCACTTTTACAACACTTATGTTTTATTATTTTTATATATTTATTTTTTACTAGAAATTCAGTCAATTACTAGGAAGACATAGATAAACTATTTCCTAAATTCTGGTCAAGACTGTGCGACACTGACTTGATAAAGGTTTGAGGTCTCGGTTGGTTAAATTTTTGTTGTTGGTAGCAGAGTTATGTTTGTTTTGAACAGTGACAGGACTTTGCTGGATAGTCCTATCAATTCTTTTCTTGAGCTATTTTTTAGAATTTTATTTTATAAAGAAATTGGTACTTTAGAGTTCAAATGGTTTTATTTTGGCATTCTCAATCTACAGACTCTACAACGAAATGGCAAGGTATAGAATTACCATAGTAGCTCATGTTAACCATATGCATGCATTTGTGTTCACAGCAATAATTTCAGCAAAATTGTCTCTGCAGTCATTTGGCAGGTGAGCTCTCACATGTATCCACTGCCATACTAGGACTCTTAGACATCCTTTGCAGAAAGCTTTATATGAGTCCTAAACTAGCAACTGACAAGATGAGCTGTAACGGGCTTGAATATTTAACAGAGCTGCACATTAAAAAAGTCCTTAATCAGCCCATATTCTATATGTCTCATTTGTACAGGAAAATCTTAGAGACTGCTCATGGGAAAATACTGTTCTCTCCACACAAACACACCAGTGTGGTTGGGAAAGCAGGGAAAGCAGTGAAAGCAGTACAGCACACTGCCATACGTTTCTACTGAGAAAGCAAACGGGTTTCACTTTTTCAGACCTTCTCTGGTTCCCAGGGAGTCCCTGTCCCCACATACTCCTCAGTGCTTCTGGCAGAGAGTGTGAGGCCAGCTTGGGCATCTCTGTACCCGGACAGTAGACACCCTAAATATAAGAAGAGAAACAACAGATGGCTACAAACAGATGGGGAAACCTAAGTAACAATTAGATGCTATTGATCAGTATGACGACAGTTCTCACAACACAGTGATATTTTCTAGGGTTTTGTGCAGCCTGCTTGAAGCGTTCAAACCTTCACTCTTTTAAGCTGCTATTTCTGTTGAATTTGCTGGGGTGAAGATGCAAATTAGTTAGATGCACTTTGGCCTTATCCTGAGCACCGAAAGGAATGTAGCACACATTTTTACATCCTAAGATGGAACCACACAGGATCCACAGCCCCACTCATGGTTCTGGTGAAAGTAGGTATATGCGAGGTTGACAAAAACCAACAGCAAAACAGAGCTGCAGAGCGAATCAGATGTTACCATAAAATTGTTATCTTTATCCTTTCCCATCTTTGAAAGAGCAGGAGGAGAAACAAAAACAGTTCCTGGTTTTCCGGTAACAGGGTTGAATTGGACCCAGGCTGCTGACAAGGCTGGGAAGAGCTTCAGGATGGAACCACAGGTGCAAATACGATCTCCTCGCTATGACTTTCTTTTCTCAATTTCTCTTATTCATCACAGCTACATTCTCGATAGCACAGGGTTTATTTTTCTCTCTTTGGTGTCCATGAACTTCAGGTATTTGTAGAATTCTATCTTGTTTGTACCTTATTCTTGTCTTAGTGGAAGTGAATGTACATATATTTTTGTCTCTGAAACATAGTATTCTCTGTGTTCAGAATTGTGCTGCCTCATAGTTTAGGCCTCACCATCTCATGAATGGTTTATCTGATAACATACTACCCATAACAGTACAAGAACCTGACTGGTTATGTACCTCTAAGTTCTGGTGTTGGGCTCTTCTTTTTTTTTTTTTTAATAAAGCACTCAAAAGCTTCTAATGGATAAAGGGAAGAGTAAGTGCCACATCCCTTGACTACCTGCAGTTCAAAAAGAGAATCCATTATGTCCATATTGTTGTGAAAAAGGCCGAGTATTTTTTGAAAGGGATGCTACTGTTCAGAGTCAGGTGTAGGATACAGCAATAGTTGGCTGGCAGGCCTGGGCCAGAGTGGTAATTCCTCTCTTATGTTTATCAGCAGTATAGAAAAGGCTGACTCCTGACTTCCCATGCTCTGAAGCTGATGAATGGGCAGCACAAAATAGGCCGTTGGGGTTTTTTTCTTTTTTTTTCCTGTTCTGCCATTTTGCATTGCCAATTAATGTCTGACTCTGTCATTGAATATTCATGCTTTGGATTGTTTTTCAACAAATGTGTTGGGAATTGTGTCTTTCCAGTCCAAACCTCATTTTGTTACAGTATTTTTGCCTATGCTTTTAATCTCTCAGGGTGCCTTTGTATTATTTGTCTTTGTTCTTACTGGTACTTTCAGCTCCTCCTAAATTACTACTGTTAGCTCATTATGAGACTGAATTCATTAAGATCATTACTTCTTTTAGATTATTACTGAAGATGATAAGCAAGAGAAAACTATTCCCTCTCCATGGGTAAACTTCCTGGAACACTTCGCATCAGTGCAATGCACTGCATTTTCCTTGCAATCACTTTCCAGCCCATCAAATCCTCTTCTCCAGAATCATATGAATCCATTTTTAAACTCAAATGTTGTAAGATGCAGCTTCAAGTCTATAATGAAATCCACGCAGGTTGGCTGTATTCTTTGTGTCCCACCACCAACAGCTCTGTCCAACAAACAGCTTGAAGTTAGCTTGAAGTTGAAGGGATTCCTCAAGTGATTAAAGTTAAACATGTATTTGTAGGATTGAAATCTTACTGGTCTTTTTAATTTTATTTTTTCTTAAGGGAGATCAAATAACTCCAGGAAAATGTACTCTCAATAAACCAAATTCAAAGGTTTCACATCCTTTAGATATCTGGTAATTTTCATAGAATTTTTCACTGTTGGTCATTATTTTCTTTAGGTTAGATTTTTATTGTTCAAATCACTTTGCACCATTTTGGTAATTTTTGTTTCTTGCCTTTTAGATACCATTAAAAAACCAAAAACATCAGGTCTTTATTCAGCAGAAAATTTTCATTATAACAAAGGATATATAGTTTCTCTTAGCTAGTTTAAAATCTTAGAATTTCACAAAAAAGTTATTTCAAGCTGTAGCAGTAGTAGTAGTAGCAGCAGTAGTAGTAGTATAAGATTTTCCTATATTCTAAAATAGTACCTTTCCTTCTAAAAAGCTTTCTTAGCAATTGTCTTACTGGATCATCAGTCTTTTGGAATCATTAATTTAGTATCCTTCCTAATTTCTGTCTCTGTTGTATATTTACTGAATCTCTTAATATCGTGCTTGAGTCTCTGGACATTCCCACTTCACTCAAAGTCCTCATCAATCCCAGTATTTTGGCACAGTCAATATCTGCTGTTTGTTTGAGGTTGCTTTTTTGTTGGATTCTCGAAATTCTTAACAATTCTATTTTTAGCAACTTCCCTTCTAAAATTCACCTTAGCTATTTTTTTCTTCTTTTGTTTTTAAATAGAGAACTTGATATTTTTGGCCAAATTTCTTAACCTAATTTCTGATACCCCAAATTGCTGTCAGCTTTCTTGAGCAACAATGGCAAGAATGTCATCATTGAAACTTAGGACTTGAGAATCCAGGAAAGGAGGGTCCTTTGCCTTCTTTCTAAAGAATCGGACTCTCTGTTGTGCATTGCTCAGTTGTACTCTATCTATTCTGTATTACTTATTAAAGGTTAGATTGCAAGTAGAGCACACATTCACGAGAACAAGGTTCAGACTTTGTCCATGGGCATCTTTGCCAGCCTTTTGATAGCTTTAGTATCTTGCGACCTTCAAATCCAACTGACCTCACTGGGAACTGCACTACTGCAGTGTTTAGATGCCATTATCACAAGGACAGAATATTCTTGCTAGTTCTATGCCCTATCTGACATTACAATTTACAGGTATGCAATATTTGCCCAAACTTTTCAAGCAGTCTATAAAATGTTACATCACTTGATTTTTCTTATGGTTTAAAAATTGGAAAAAAAACCCAGCAAAGACAAGGGTGTTAAAAAGAAAGTGTGTTAGTCAGATGATGATATTTGTCTTAAATTCAGATACAAAATACCCTTAACTTTCTGTAAATTGACTTAGATCTGCCCATTTACTTCTGGATCTGCACTATGAAATTCACATGCAAGGATTAAAGTGTCACATACTCTTTCCTTGGTCTCCTGAAAAATGGTCTATATGAATCTATGTAACCTGTGG